CTGTTGGTTTCTGCTAATGGTTTTAGGCTGTGGGACTCTGGGGTATAGAAGTATCAGCCAGATCGCTCTGCGTCTCCTCCGTCCGCAGCCTCACCAGCTGGTCACATGGTCTCTCACTCAGTGCGTGCTGTGCTCCAGGCACTCTGCGGGCGGGGGTGGGGGGGGGGGGGGGTGGGGCCTGGAGAATTACCTCGCTGCTTCCTGTGCTCACTGGAGGCCTAAGTGGGTGTAAGAGATAACAGAAAGCTGAGAAGGAAGCTAAGGAGAGCTAATTGATTTTTTTCTGTAAAATTTCCATCTTCTGGCTTTTCTCCCTCTCTTTTTGAAGTTACGCATCTGATTTGCCAAATCAGATGAGTTCATTGTCTTCTTGGGGCTAGGAACAGAGCTTGAAGCTCCCCCTGCGGACCTGGGGTTGTCAGAGAGCAAACCTCATTAAGTCAGCCTCTTGCCCAGAACAGGGGCTTCCGGAAGCCACTGAATGATTTATTTGCTCTTCCTGATGTCCTTCCCGTTCCTGTGAACCCCAGGCGTCACTGAGAGGGTCTCTCCAGCACCTGCTCTTTGCCACGGCTCTCCCACTCTGCTCTTTGGTTGGGCAAGAGGGCCATATTTTTTTCCTTATGTTCTTGGCATCCTAAAACAATCTTGCCTTTTTCTGACTTTTCCTTCTAAGGCCTCCTTATTTCTTCCTCGGACCTGGGGCAGTCCCTTTGTGACGCTGAACCTAACGTACTGTAGTTTGTTTCCTTTGTATGATCCTCATAGACAAACATAAAAGAACTTTTGTCCAGTTTATTTCACCATGCAAGGGTTGCTCTACTGCTGACCTACTCTAAAAGCTGTCTCCACTTCTGTCCATCTTATATCAAATTCAGCTCCTCTTGCAATTCTGCCCATTGAATATAGTATAAACACCTCCTGTTGCAGCCAAGGCCCCTCTACAAGATGGTTTCATCACAATATTATTATTGTTATTACTACTACTACTGTTATCATTATATTTATTTATTTATTCATTCATTCATTCATTCATTCGGCCAAATTTTCTTATGCAACCAAGCTACTTGATGCTCTCTGGGCTTAATCTACACTGTCCTACTTTGGTGCATTAGCTTCAAACCACCACCTCCTTTCCTGCCGAAATCAAGCCCCATTGGAAATGCCACTTCCTCCACGAGCTGTTCCCAGCCGTTCCCCACACAACGTTGGTCTCTCCTGCTCTGAGTTCCCTCTCTTGTGACACTAATCCCTTTCTTTGATGTGTATTAGAATAAATCTGTGTGGAGTATCTTTGGAGAGAGGCACTGAGTTGACTAGGAAAGGAGAAGGGCTTACTTTCCACATTCACCCTCTTACTTTTTGGATTTTGTACCATGTATATGTTTCCTAAGATTTTTTTTTTTCTATGAAGGTATTATCTGCATAACAAAGGACCCAGTCTATAAAATGTTAGAAGAAGATATTGGAGAGTATGTTTAGGAAAATGTCCTTAGCCAAGACACAAAACCCAGAAGCCGTGAAGAAAACAACTTTTAAAATATATGTGTTGGGACTTCCCTGGTGACGCAGTGGTTAAGACTCCAAGCTCCCAGTGCAGGGGGCCCAGGTTTGATCCCTGGTCAGGGAACTAGATCCCACATGCATGCTGCAACTAAGAGTTCGCATACCACAACTAAGGAGCCAGTGAGCCGCCACTAAGGAGCCCACCTACCACAACTACGACCCGCTGCAACCAACCTAATTAATTAATTAATTAATTTAAAAATACATGTGTGGACTTACTTGTCATACCCCTATTTGGCTACAAGTACCTGAAGTGCTTATCTTTCTATCCTTTTTCAGAGCATAGCACAATGATCCCTACACAGTAATCAGTAAATATTAGTTGAATTGAAATAGAATTGTAAGTCGCCTCTCTGTAGACCTCATTTTTTGCACGTATAAAATGGGTGCCGGGTGATGTCCAGGGCCCCTTTGAGAGAGTCCGTGAAGATGTGGGCTTTATGGACAGAAGTACCCAGCAGAGCAGGAATGGTTTTAGAATGAGCAGCCCTTACCCTGGGACTGTCTTCCCCAGCACACTGGACCTGTAAGTGGGTCCTGCCTGTTTTCGGGAGGTGCCCCCCGGGTGCTCATCATTAATTACCCTGAGGAAATGAACCAATTAGACACAACCCAAGGAGAGCCGGGAGAATCTGTGGCAGGCTTGTTGCCCTGAACAAAAGAGGGTAAGTGTAAAGGGTAAAGCAGTTTGCTGAGGTTCCTTTGGAAATCCAGCTGGCCAGCTCTTTGAACTACTTGGCCAGAGTTTAGAGAGGCACCAGAAGGAATGTGATGCCTGTGTCTCCCTCCTGTTCAAGACCTTGGGCGAGGTGGGTGGTGTGGGAAGAGTCTAGAGGAGGAGGTGTGTGCTTAGAGGGGACTGAGGGGGCTTACTTGGGCTCATCTCCCGGTTTCAGAGAGGCTGCCTAGACGTCTCTGGATCCCTGTGGACCTACCCCAGGGTTTTAACAGCTTTAAATATGGAGTCTTTTCTCCTAGTCTCAGTGATCAGCAGCTCAAGGGCAGGGAGCCACCATCTCTTTTTCGACTTCGTATCCACCCCACAGCCTGGCTGGCGGTCATCTTGCTTAATAGCAGGTTGAAGGGAAGTGGTATTTGGTGAGAGAGTGGTGGGTGGTCCCATGAAGGGAGAGCACCTTTTCTCAGACAGTCAGGGACTCCAGGTCTGTTAGAGGAAGTGAAGAAAAGAAACCCAGCAGTTCTTATTCTCGTACTGATGTCCTTGTGGTAGTCACAATGGGGACAGGGTATTTGTCAGCAAAATCAAATGTCCTTTATTTAGAGCCTTTCATCTTTCCTGCCTTGGTAGGTAAGGCTTGTGGTAAGTTGAAGTTTGTCGGTGCCTGGCCACCTGCCAGCATGTGTTCTCCCCCAGCCCAGCCTTCTTAACAGTGATCCCGTAGTGCCCCTCCTGTCCCCTCCTATTTTTGCTAGGCATACCCCATGATCCATTGCCTGGCGACTTCAGTTCTGTAGTGTCTGTCCAGGCTCAGAAGGGGAGGCTGCCTTCTCCCTGGGCTGCTCAGGCCTTCCGGCTCCTCTGATGTATTACTGCAACTTACCTATACACCAGCGTTCCCACCACACTTAGGTACCACTTGCCATCTCCCTAACTGACCTGTTCAAAGGGGAGGCAACCTTGACATATATGCACTCCTTAAAGGCCCGCTCACTCCTAAGGTGGAAGCAGTGTCTGCTGGTGGGAAGAGCACAGGTTTTGCAATCGGAAGCCCTGGCTCTGCTCCCAGGTCTGCCTGACTTGGCTAAAAGTCATTTAACTTTTGTGGGCCAGTGTCCTCATCTTCAAAGGGAGAAATGGTAACTACCTCACGGAGTTGTCAGAGGAATAAATAAGATAGGAGGTCAGTGAAGGTGCTTTTAAAGCTAAACAGTCCTACCTGAATGAAAAATAATGGGCGTTACCATGGGATAGAGACGCGTGATGCCAGTGACCGCTCTAGTCAGGGAATGGGTGGTGCATGGGGGCCTGGGAAGCCTCCCAGGAAATGCATCAGAAATCCCCTCTGATGCCAAGATGTCACATTTTTATCATGAGAAGGAATCCTTTCTGGTACTGATGTTGGAAACAAGGCTGATGTTTCCCCTGTGCAGGTTACCAGTGTTTTATCACCTGTCACTTTGATTCGTTGTGTATTTCAGTAAGTTTTATTAAAACCACATTATGCAAATGCATTATTTCATTCTTTTTTCTTGGCTAAGTAATATTCCATTGTACATATGTACCATGGATGGCCCTGGAGATTATCATACTAAGTGAAGTAAGTCAGGGTGTTTGCTCCTACTGCACAGTTGCCTCTCCATCAGCCCTCACATACGGCCTCAAGGAGAGTTCTCTATTATCATTTAGCAGAACAAGAAATGTAGGCCCAAGGGTTTATACATGGGTCTCCATGGTAGGCTGGCACCTGGCAGAGGTGGGACACAGTTGTCTGACAGCACTACTCAGAGATGGCCCCTAAATACAGAGGTAAAGGAAAATCCTCCCAAGTACTATATCTGATTGTCTATTTGGTGGAGAGAGAAATGCCCTAATAAACTGATGCGGATTGATTCAAGGGCAGAGGCTAACGAATTGGCTGGATGGTGAAGCGTGTGGAAAGAAAAAGATTGAAATTTGTGATAGGTAGGCCTAATAAAGAGGTTGGTGGATAAGATGAACTATTCTGTTGATGTTAGCCTCTTCCTTCAGCTGCCCTAGTGCTGGCTTAGTAGGCCCATGTACAAAATGGCCATGGCAGCTGGGATGGGGGATATGTAGAGGGTTTTCCCTCACCAATGCTGATGTGTCTAACACCACTTTGAATTGGCAACCTGCTTATCAGCAGACCAAACGCTGAGGCACCAACCTGGCACCATTCTCCAGGAGGACCAGATAGTCCTCTGTTGGCAGATTGGTTACACTGAACCCCTTCCATCACTGAGGAAAAAGCCAGTGTCTTCACAGGAATAGAGGCATATTCTGAATATGGATTTACTTTTCATGCTTGCAATGCTTCTGCCAGCACCACCATGTGGAAAGTAAAAAAAAAAAAAAAAAAAAAAAAGAATACACAATTTGTAATCATAAAAGAAGAAAATGCTGAAAAAAACCCACACGCGCTAGATCTCTGTAAGTTCAGCTTTGTCAAAGTCTACTGTTCAGTGATGGATGCAGTTGTCCTAAGGCGCAGTGCTGGGGAGGGAGGGTGAGGGGAAGTGCTGCAAGCAGCCAAGCTTCCCCTGTTGCCAGGGCGCCTCCCTCTGTCATTGGCAACCTGAACTTGGAGAGTTTGGCCAGCTGCCTTTCCAAGGGGCTGGCTCTTTGCTCCTGGTGTGTTTCCTGCCGAAGCCCTCAGGGCTGCCCCTCTTTGTCGCTGACGGCAGTCTCGCTGGAAAACCTCACCACTGTACCTCTGCTCTCTCTCTCTTTGCAGTGTGTTCCCTGCCCCCGGAGCCAGAGAATGGTGGCTACATCTGCCACCCCCGGCCCTGTAGAGACCCCCTGAACTCAGGCAGCGTCATCGAGTACCTGTGTGCTGAAGGCTACATGTTGAAGGGTGATTACAAATACCTGACGTGTAAGAATGGCGAGTGGAAGCCAGCCATGGAGATCAGCTGTCATCTCAACGAGGGTCAGTTTGGCAGATGATTGAGGGGTGCTGCTGGGCTTCTGCTTTCTTCTAACTCCCGGGAAGTGGTGCCCGCTCCCTCTGGAGCACCCTGTGCTATGGGGCAGCATGGCCCTTCTGAGGCCCTGCAGCCTCCCTTCCTTTGGGATTTCATGTCTCTGTGAAAGACATTTGGATTGCTGGTGCGTGTCCCAGTGCATTTCAGCCGAGCTACCGAGGCATCTGCTGTGCTGTGTAAAGTCCCTTTGATGCACCGGATCTCTTGTTTGCCTAGCCCAGTGCCGGTGACCTCTGACTGTGTTCTGCTAACCCATGAGCACGATGCGAGCACCTTCTGTAGTGTCTCTTTTATATTATTTTTCCTTGAATGGACGTGGACTGTTTTGTCACGGAGCTGCAGTCCAGCTGGCCAGAAGACCTATCCCCCTTCGCCTCCTCCTGTCATGCATGGCAGGAAATCCAGCTGCCTGCTGGAAAGTGTGTCATGCAGCCATCTTTGTGCTTTCACTCGAGCTTCAAGACCGTGACCAACCCCAGAGAAGGGTGGGGACAGGCCTGAGGTTTACAACTAAAGCTGCAGGATTTTAGAACAGATTGTTATTACCGCCCTGTTCTTATAAATTTTCCTGCCACATGGGTGGGACTTCAGATGGTGGAATGATGTGTGCATTTGGATGGTTCATGTCTTCCAGCCTGCTCTTAAGGACGGGATCAGATGGGGTTTATAAAGGTAAGACCTCTAGGGAAGTGAAGTGAAGGGAATTTTAGATTCAGGAACAGAATAGGGAAATGTCCCCTTTCCCTGATGTAAAAGCCACTCTGCACCGTTACTCCAAAAGTGGCCCTGGCCATACGTAGCATGTCTCAGCGTGGCACTGTGCAGGGGGCCCTTGACAAGGTCGGCCGTGGGGCTCACGTTCCACGTGTCAGGGTTCAAAACACGTCTGACGACGGCTTTTTCCCGTAGACAAAGACGCCCACACGTCGCTCGGGGTCCCCACGCTGTCCATCGTGGCTTCCACTGCCAGCTCCGTGGCGCTCATTCTCCTCCTGGTGGTGCTGTTTGTGCTGCTGCAGCCAAAGCTGAAGTCTTTCCATCACAGCAGGTGAGCCAGTGGCAGCTGGCAGTGTGCGTCACCGTGGAGGCTGGCCTTTGGCTGGCAGAGGGGTGCTGGAGGGCCTGCTGGCCTCTGTTGGTCTGTGTGCACCCGGGGAATGGGGAGGGCCCTGCCATGTGTTAAACTTCCATATGTGCCTGGCACTGTGCTTTTGCTTTGCATGCATTGTCTTCATCCTCACAGGATCTTTGCAGATTAGGAAACTGAGGCTCAGAGCGGTTAAGTCATTCACTCAGGGTCCTCCCTGTAGGTGATGACAGCGGTGAGATTTAAACCCCAGTCTGTCCAGCTCTAGTGGCATGTTATTTCCCCTATATCAGTGGTTCCCAAAGTGTGGTCCCAGCAGTATTAGCGTCACCTGGGAGCTTGTTAGGAATGCAGATTTTCAGGCCCCACCCCAGACCAACAGAATGAGAAACTCTGTGTTTCTCAGCCCCTCCAAGCGTTTCTGATGCAGGCTCATGTTTGTGAGCCACTGCCCTGTCTCCCTGTGCCCCTCTCCTGGATGCACATAGAGGCACCTGTGGGAAACTAAAAACAAACGCCGGCACCTGGGCCTCCATCCCCAGACGTTCTGATTTATTTAGTTTGGGATAGGTGCCTGGCATTAGTGTTTTAAAAAGCTCCCCAGGTGGTTCTGACGTGCAGCTAGGATTGGCAAGCACTGCACTATACCATACTAGAAACCGAGGAAGTGGTTTTCTTGCCTACCTTTGTCACTTTCCTTATTGCAGGTGAGTGCACCAGCCACAGATCATCCCAGACTGGATAGGTGAGGTTGGGGTGGGGGTGGCCAATGGTGGGGACCTGGCCCCCGGTGGGTCCCTCATGGTGGACTCTCCCAGGCTGGCATGGCCCCCTTACCTGCTTGGGTTGCCCTGGCCCTTCCTCGTTCCCTCCGAAGAAAACAGTTTATGTCCATCCACAGCCCTTCCTCAGTGACTGTTGTCAGGCACAGGCACGAAGGAACAGACTAAACTGCATTAAATAAAACGCTCCTGGTTTGGAATGCACAGACAAGGACCAGTTTAATATCTGTGTACTGTGTGTGTGATTCTTCTTTCTTCTTGTTATTTTGTTTTGTTTGGGACAGGGGGTAACAGCTATTTTTAAAGGTAGTTAAACAATTAGTGGACCAGAGAAGATTTGGAAGGGACTGTCTATTTGAAAGAATTGGCTACTGCCACGTAAAGTCAACTCGAGCTGTTCCTCATTTCTTCCAAATTAGGGATCATTTTCCCCTGGTAGTTAACTAGTCAGTGTGTTCAAAGTAACTGATTTTGCCTAAGTGGCAGGGAGATTTGGGTTTCATTATAGACCCTGTTTAAATTTTGTACATCTATTACTTTTTAAACAAACAAACAAAAATGTTATTTTGAATAACGAAAGTTAAGCACATGGCAGAATGCACTCTGCTTTCGGATGCCACCCTGCCATCAAAGTTTCCCTTCTTTCCAGAAATGTCTGAGCACTTCTATGAGTGCCACTTCTGTCATCCTCACTGTGTGTGCCATTTGAACTGGGTAGTACAGATTTTTATCTGCAAGTACAGGTGAGGAAATTGAGAACGAATAAAACAGTCCAGCAATAATAATATGGTCCAGCCATAGACCTTACGTGTCTCCTGGTGTGACACACAGAAGAGGACATGACATCACAGACAGTGCTGTGGCGTGTAGTGTTCTAGGCCGAGATTGGCCTGTTCTAGATTAAAAGAGATGCAAGAGACAGGACAACTAAGTGCAATGCATGATCCATAATTGGATTGTGGATGAAAACAGACAAGACAGCAGCTGAAGCAGATATATTTTTGGGTAGTTGGGAACATTTGTATTACAGTATTATACCAATGTTATTTCCAGGATGTAAATACTGTTGTAGTTACATAGGAAAAGAGGTTCTTGGGAGGTGTGTGCTAACTACTGTCTTAATTAGTAAGAAATAACTTATTTTCAGAATGGTTCAGGAATTCCCTGGTGGTCTAATGGTTAGGACTCTGCCCTTCCACTGCCGGGGGCCTGGGTTCAATCTGGGGCCTGGGAACTAAGATCCTGCAAGCCTCACAGTGGCAAAAAAAAAAAAAAAAAGTGCATGTATAAAAGTAATCCAGAAAAGAAGTATTTGCATGGATAAATCTCCCAAACGTAATGTTATAATGTTGAGTTAAATACAAAGCCAGACACACACACACACACACACACACACACACACACACACACACGATTTATTGTCTTTCCCATTCATATAAAGATCAAAAATATGCAGAAATAACTGGTGTTGAAAGATTCATGTTTAGGCAGTAAAATTACTCAAATAAAAGTCAAAGGAACGATTTTCATGAGAGTCAGGATCGTGGTTACTTTTGGTGGTGAGGCGATAGGAATGGACACGGCGGGGGTGGGGTAGGCGGTGCCAGCAGTGTTCTGTTTCTTGACCCAGCTAGGGCTTGTACGCCATGTTACCTCTGGAATAAGTCAGCTGTACATTTTTCGATGTTTGTCTAATATTTGTGTTATAATTCACTTATTTTTTTAAGTTTACGAAGTTAAAGAAAATTAAATAAAAGGCAAGCAAAGTGGCTGAGTCAAAAGAATAAAATTCTTCAGTTTTTGAGTCCAGTGTCCCATCTCAAGACCACGGTGCTGCTTTTCCTCCTCTTTTTAAAAGGAGCTTTATGGAGATGTCATTTACATACCATACAGTATACCCCCATGAAGTGCGCAGGCAGGGGTATATTCACGGGTATTTGTAGCCATCATTCTCCCACTTTCCTATCTTAGCTGTGCTGAGTGAATGGCTTTATTTCTGGGTCTCTAGCTACCTCGTTTTTGCACAGGACCAGAGGGCTAGGTGCCTGTGTACCCAGAGGTTGAGAACACAGTCTTTGGAAGCAGGTGGAATGGATTCACATCCTAGCTTCCTCCCTTACCAGCTGTGCGACTGGGTAGGTTACTTAACTACTCTGAGCCTCATCTGCATTCTTGGTGAATCTACCTGGAAGGACACAGGTGAGGACTCAGTGGGGTAAAGTGTGTAAAGCCCTTAGTGCCATGCCGGGTACCATAGTAAGTGGTCAGAAACGGTTGGTGTTGTTGATATTGTGATATTTACCTGTGCGTGTATTCTGATTCTTCCTTTGTCCTTTCCTACGGATGCAGGCGTGACCAGGGGGTGTCCGGGGACCAGGTGTCCATCATGGTGGATGGAGTCCAGGTTGCACTGCCGTCGTATGAGGAGGCTGTGTACGGCAGTTCCGGTCACTGTGTGCCACCCGCTGACCCCAGAGTGCAGATTGTGCTCTCAGAAGGGTCTGGGCCCAGTGGGAGGAGCGGGCCAAGGGAGCAGCAGCTGCAGGACCAGGGGGCCTGCTCCTCCGCAGGCGGAGAGGAGGAGGCCCCGGGCCAGTCTGGACTGTGTGAAGCCCGGGGCTCTCGGGGCTCGGAGACTGTGATGGTGCATCAGGCAGCCCCCTCTTCCTGGGTGGCCGGCTCAGGGAACAGCCGAGTGGCACACAAAGAAGCCCCAGATTCAGAGAACAGTGACGTACAAAGCCTCACGTCGGAGGACTACACAGATGGTAGGTGCTCTGTGCTGATCGTAAGTTATTATCTGCTCGGGGTCCTTGCTAGGAGTGAGGAAGGAAGGCGAACCTTTCTGATAATTGGTGTAGCTGGCGGCAGAGAAAGATAATACCTGGGGGATTATCCTACAAAATAGAATTTTACCCTCGGAGCCCCAGGTAGGCCTTTGGGCTCTGTATAGGGAGGCTTTTCACTGTTGTCTGTGAATTTTAATAGGTTTGGAGTCTCCGAAACTATTCATGGCCTCAGGGATATGCTAAATCAAAGGGTAGACAGCCGGTTGGAGGTGGAGTGGGGCCTGTCCTCTTGTCATAATTTTTATGTTCCTGAAAGAACAGGAATAACAAGGAGGTGTGGGGTCTTACGACAGAGGAAACTGGAGCCTGCCTCTCCCAGAGCATTCCAGCTGCTTCATTTTAAATAGGAGCATGCCAGGTCCCGTGCTAGTTGGTTTTCTTGCACTGTGTCAGTCAAACCTCACAGTGATCCTGAGAAGTGGGTATTATTACCAGCCCCATTTTACAGATAGGGATACTGAGGCTCAAAGAGGTTAAGTCACTTGCCCATTGGTAGGTGGCTGAGCTGGGATTTGAAGCCGATGGATCTGCTCCCAAACTTGCGTTGTAGCCCCATGGTGCCATGCTGCCTCCCAGGTCACTCCAGGTCCTTTGTGGCAAACAAGCCAGAGAACAAAATTGCCCCCTCCTGACACCTCTGCCTTTATGGGAGCCTGGAGAGTCGAACATTGGGATTGACTCTGTCACTTTAAAAAACATCTTTACGTAAAATCCCACCGTGGTTCAGGATGCAGACCGAATCTAGATGTTCCCCTTTAGAAAGTGAGGACGTCTATACTTACCAAACTCCCGTAAAAGAGCCTTAGGGAAAACTCTGTTTCCTGGGAGTCCTGGGCACAGTTAATGTGTATGGTTTAGAATATCTGAAAGCAAAGAAGTTGGAAATTCTTAAGTGCAGATCAGGTGTAGGGTTTCCTGATTGTCAGCAGCATGCCTCCTTTTTTCTTGGTGGGATATAGAGCTAGGAAGGGGCCATTAAATAGGTGGCCAGGGTTTAAAGGTGGAAGCCAGTGACCCCATGGGCAGCCAGCTTTACATATTGTGTACTGACACGAGCCTCAGCCCTAACCCTTCCTAAGGAGCCAGGGTGGTGCCAGCTCTTCTCCCTTCTCCTCCTTGCTCCCTTGCTTTGTTCCAGGTATTGAACAAGCGCTTTTCAGAGCCCATCTTGTGCCAGGTGCTGGATTAGGTTTCAGGTGTGATGGAAAGAACTGGGAAACATGCTCTCTGCCCACATGGATTGTCAGTCAGTTGGGAAAATGGAGCCTATACTTGAGAAAAAATGGAACCAAGAATGGTAGGGTCCATGTCAGAATGAGGAGTGCAAAAGAATAAGACACATAGGTTATCGAGTTGGTTACAGGCTAAGCCTGAGCTGTCTGGGGCTGACAGTACTGAAGGAAGCCAGGCCCTTAGGGTGTCAGTCTAAGCCGGGTGACAGATGAGTCAACCAAGACCCAGAGACGGGGAGTGATTTACTCAGTATCACACAGCTGGAGGATGGCTTGAAGGAGGAGGTGAGACTTAACCAGGGCTCAGGAGCCTCATAGGGCGAGAATAAGGGTAGAAAGAGAAGCAACTAAACCAGCATAGTTAAAGCAGAGAAGAGGGTTCAAGGTGGTAGGACCAGAAGGGGTTTGAATACCCAACTGAATGTTCAGATTTTGTCACACAGGCAGAGGGAGAGATGAGCAAGGAAGGCCTAGAAAAGGGTGAGGGACTTAGGCTACCTAGAAGCCTGTGAACAGGGCATTTTATTTCTTTAAACATAGGATCCCTGCGACGGGGTCAGGTGTGCTGCAGAGTCACTCACACGGGCTAACCACTGTGCTCTCCGTCCTCCTCTGCCCGCAGATATCCCACTGTTGAAAGAAGCATGAGGGCTGCCGCTGGCTTCTCTCCTCTCTGCCCTCCCTCCCTCTCCCTGTGGGTTTGAGCACCGTGTACTCCAGCTGCCCTGCCCGGATACCTGAGCTGCCACCTGTGTATCTGTGTATCTCTGTATCTCTGAGGGCCTGCAGGCCCACCTTGGCTGGAAACTCAAGGAAGATTCTCACCATCTGCCTGCTGGACAGCTGGAGGAGCTGGCTTTTTGCCTGGCCCAGCCTTCCCCTCTGTGTCGGGGACATCGTTGAATGTGCTGGATTGAGCCCTTCCTTCCCCGAGCCCTCCGGGTCTGCTCCAGCGAGCGAGCGCTTGGGCGGCAGCCCCCATGGGCCCGAGAGCGCTGCGTTTACTTGTGCCTTCCTCCCGCCCGTCCAGTGTCCCTGTCATGCGGGCTTGTTGCTGTCCTGCAAGCCTCGGTGGCGGCACTCTGCCACACAGGGGGCCGGGCCTGGGTCTGGCCTGTTTCCTTTGGGGGCTGGCACCACTGCCCTTAGCAGGAGCAGATCCGAGAGTGGCTCGAATTGGGGCAAGAGTGTGGCTCCCTTGGCCTACCCTTGGTTGACACTGGTGGCGCATTGCTTGGCTGAGCAGGGAGGCTGTGTAAAGTCATGCCAGAGCTGTCCCAGCGCCCAGCTCTGTAGCTCAGAGGTGCCAGCGCCTGGCCCTGTCGAGTTTCCAAGAAGCATCCAGAAGATCCCAAGGGAGGGGAGGACGGTGGCTGATAGTGATCGATCGTCTTCCGCATATGCAAGTTCTCACTTCCTACTTCCAGCATCTGGCCTTCCTGGCCTCGGTCTTTTCTCTTTCCTTGGAGCATAGCAGGGAGTTGCAGCATGCGGCCTCCTGGGTTTGATCCTGCGCAGCTCTGGCTTCCTTGCTGGCCGAGGCCTGAGGCGAATCATCCACGGGACGGGAGTGTTGCTGAGATGCCATGGGATGCCCATCTGGTCACTGTCAGTTGGGGCCAGTTGCCCTGTTCTGGGTTCATGGTGAGGGAAGGGGGCCTGAGAGGCGCCGGCGACCCGTGTCCCCAGGCAGCTGCAGGCAGCTCCGCCCCGGTCCTGAGGGTCCTCCTCACCACAGTCACGTGCCTTAGTAACTGTGCCCAGGAAGCATCCTGCTGCTTGCCTCGCTGCTGCTTTTCCTCGTTCCACCCTCCCCTGCCGCCCCTCCACTCGTCACAGCTGGCAAACGATTCCCTGGTCTTCCCCGCACCGGGAGGGCCCAAGACACAGTCGGCACCACCCCCCCCCCCCCCCCCCCCCCCCCCTCTG